TCTATCTATTCTCGACTTATCTTATTCTGTCCGTCGTGGCACCGTCAGGTGAACCTGAGTGCAACGAAACCCGATTACGATCCTTCCTTATTTTCCGCGGCGAGACGCCATATTCTCTTTTTCATGGCATTCGCAATCTCTTTACGGTTTGTCCTTTTTCCTTTTGTCATGCCCGGAATATCCGGAAACGAGAGAAGGATTTACGGTTGATCGAGTTGCGCGTTTCTAACGCGCGACAGATATAATTACGAACGAGATTACACCCTCGTGCAAATCCTATTCGACCCTTTCACGTTGCTCATCGTTTCATGCATTTCCGCGAGATGGATGCCCGGGGAAGCAAAAAAAAAAAAGAACCGAGGTTTTATCGAATAACGTTCGTCGATCCGTAATGGCCCCGACAGACGCTGTCTGCCGCGAAATTGCGCGTTACTCTGTACCCGAATATTGGAAAATATTTTATTTAACCCTTCCACGAATGGCCCCGAAAAATTACAGTACCGAGCAAACACTTTTTTACGCGCAATTTCAGCATACGATACATATTGTATCAATTAATTGGTGTACAGAAGAAACAAACTTAAATGTGGCAAAAGAGAAACAAAGTAAAGGAAATTGAACCATTCGAATCGACGATCGTTTGCATCCTTATGAAGATATACAGAACAAAATTGCAAACTAATTGAGAATTAATAAATATAATTGATCAAAACGATGCGCAGAAACGTGTACAAGCTAAATAAACAAATTTATTCGAATTTAACGAATTAAGAAACGCGGTTGATTTTTGATCTCGTAGCTTTTTGCAACGTTCCCCCGCAACTGTTGTGCATGCCACCCGATGCACTTCCTGTGTGTGAATTCCTTAACGAACTAGTTTTCATCCGCGTTTGCATTTCAAGCGCATCGCACACATTTCTTGCGCTAGACACGCGGAATCGCGTGCACTAGTTAGCATTTTGACCGAACACGGGTTTAATTTCGAATACCGTTACGAAGCTGCTCGCGTGGAAAATTTATATTAAATCAAATTATACAAATTAAATCGCGGCGAACGCGATCGACCATTCGTCTGCGAAGCTCGAGCTGGTATTAATTTTTAAAGAAAACCGTAAACGCGCGTTCGAAAACTCGTTGCTATCTGTACGACGCGTGCCCCAATTAAATTGTTAGCTAAATTATTAATCTGGAATATATCAGACGACACGATTTTACCATTACGGACGCAGATCGTTACGATTTCTCTCGAATGCTTGCGATTTTAATTTTGTAAGATGACTTGTGAGTCGAATTAATAGCAAAGATAATATAAATCATATTATTCCGATGTGATAAACAGACTGGTAATAGGCTTTGACAAGTGCAAAGGAAATAAACATTATTTCCTTTTGCATTCTCCATCCACATGCGGGTCAGAGACTGTTTTGTTGTTCGATAAACCAAGAGAGCCTACATGCGGGACAAAATATAAAAAGAAAAACTATTTGTTTCCTTCGTATCTGTCCACCAACTGGTATAAATTAATCCACGATATAGATATTTTTAATAAGATAACGTGAACCATCTTTTCCGAACTGAAATTCGGCGGAACTCGAACGGTAAAAATGGCACCGTGCGAGTCTTCCATCGACCGGGGACCGTTTCGTTCTCGATTTAGTCAACGGGTGATCGAATGAAAATTAATTAGGGGGGCCTGTGCGCAGCAGGTGTTATGATAATTCGTTTAAATTAGCCCGGGTAAACATTATCATGCAAAGTTATGCAGCGGGCTACGTAATCACCTTCGTTGCACACATCAACGTACGCTTTTACGTCGAAGCGTTATTTACGAAGATGCAATTATGTTACACGGATCCGCGGCCACGTCGTCGGTGTTATTCTAATTTACGACGCAAGGACGCGCACGGACATTTTCACGGATTATAGTTACGTTTCGATAACCATATTTATTCGCCTAGCTAGCACGCGCGCCACTCGATCGTATTTCGAAGGATAAATTTTAATACCACGGCGAAACGCGCATAAACGTGACGAGATTACAGTTATAGGACTTTTGCCTATTATACTGAGAATAATCAGAGGACCGTCTAATATCTCAACGAGTGGAACGTTATTTCATAAGCTGCTTATACTATACAATTTAGCAAACACTGTACCGTCGAAGAGACGTTTCCTTCATATTTCATGTCTGGCTTGTTCTCCAAATATTAAATCGATTCTATACATGTTGACATAATTCATATGCCATTGATGAAGGATTATAAATACTGTTTGATGTACCGTCAGCAATAATGGGAGATTTTTTCGTTCATTTAGGTTTAGTGGTGGATTTAAAAAATAGGAAATTAAATAAATTAGTAAGGATCAAAATAGTATACAGGGTGTCCAGCCAATCCTGGGAAAAATTTTAATGGGAGATACTACAGGTCAAAATAACACGAAAATCAAGAATACTAATTTGTTGATGGAGGTTTCGTTAAAAACTTATTAACGTTTAATGTTTTGCTCGTACTGAATTTTTTTCTAGAAAGTGGGTAGAATTTCGGGGATAGGTCTGTTCACCAAAAATGATTGTAATTGATCCCTACAACAGAAAATAATTTTTCCAAAACTTTTTGAAATTTTTTAATTTTGTCGAAAAATTTGTCCACTTATTGAATTTTTATCTCGAAACTGAATAGGATTTCGAGGGTATGTCTGTTCACCAAAAATTATTGTAATTGACCCCTGCAACTGAAAATAATTTTTATAGAACGATTAAAAAATTTTTTTTTCGTCGAAGAATTTAGGCACCTAGCCCCTGTCGATTTTTCTTAAAAATTTGTTTTTCATTTTTAATAAATTTGTTTGACGCTCTGTAGAAAAATTGACTAATACTTTTTTATAGGTACGCATGAATCCTACTTCAAAAAAAAGTTACATTGAAATATATTCATAATTGAAGGAGTTATGGCTGATTGAAAATTGGACCATTTTCATGGGGTTTTCCTCATTTTAAGGGGTTAAGGAATAACGTTTTCAATATTGTTAGAATTTCTGCATATTCTTCACTAAAATACGCGTTATTTGCATTTTGAAACATTAAAATCCCTCAATCAGTTCAGAAGTTATGGCGTTTTATATACGCTTGAAATTTTGGAGTGATATTTTTGGTAAGGAATTTTTTTTTCGAAAGTGCGTAGGAATTCGGGACTATGTCTATTGACCAAAAATGATTGTAATTGACCCCTGCAACTAAAAATAATTTTTTTAGAACGATTTGAAATTTTTTAATTTTGTCGACTTTCACACCTACTTGAATTTTTTTCTCAAAAGTGGATAGGATTTCGGAGGTATGTCTAATCACCAAAAATAATTATAATTGAGTCCCGCAACCAAAAATAATTTTTTCAAAATGATTTGAAATTTTGTAATTTAATTTTTTTAATAAGAAATTGATATTCTTAATTTTCGTCTTATTTCCATTCAAATTTTTCCCAGGGATGGCCCAATACCCTGTATATTGCTCTTTCTAAAACTTTACCTCTCCTATCTTGGATTTTTTATACATATGCGAAAACAGAGAGAAGAAAATTAATTCCGATTTTATGTTTCATGAACATAACATTAAAACAAATATATAACCAAGCATTTAGTTTAATAATGTGTACGCTCCACTTGTATTCTTAATTAGGGTCAAAACCCTACTCCATCAGTTACGTACTTCACCCTACCATTTAAGAGTTGAAACAATATAACCTGAAGGTTTTAATCCAATTCTTGTAATTAAATGCTAATTCAGGGAGAAAATTACATTGCGATACCGCAAGAATTCAAAGAATTAAAAAGAATCTTAGTAGAAGCGTTATTAAATGAACATTATCGCTATTTTTCTTTATTCACGACAATGGCGTTTGCGCTATTCTTTACAAATACCACATCGATATAATTTATTTTGCTTCATAAAATAATTTAGAAAATTCTACTCGCCCGTTCCTTCGTATTTACTGTGTCTACGAACATTCTGAGCCATCATTTCCTCGAACAAAATGGATTAACGCCAAGAAACGAAGAATCGTAAAATTCATGCACGAGTAAACTCGTTGTTCCTACCGCGGGAAGAACGAGAAGAATTAAAACGAGTGACTCCGAGTCGTAAACTCGCATACGAGGGATAAACGTTCTCGCGTCCCTTTTCAATTTTGGCCCCCCAACTATTCAGCCTAATTTTTCGCTCGGAACAATGCTTTTTTTTGTAAGTCCTCGAACGGAGTCACCGCTGGAATTAAACGACAATCCTTTCAAAGGTTCTGGAGATGGTGCGTTTACTCTGAAGCAATCTCCCGACAAATACGAAACCAGAAGGCAGGTGTGTTTACCTATGGCCCTATGCCCGATCCTCTTTACTAACGACATTTCAAACAGGACGGTTCCACCATACGGTTCCACGAACAGGATATAACTGTTAAAGAGGAAAAAGAGAACCGTCGTTCGACAAATAACGAGGCATCGAAATTCTTTGATGCATACAAGGTCCCTGCGACTGTTATCCGATTATTTAAAAACTTTTTCGACAACTAAAATCGCCGGTATGCGGACCGTTTATTTGCACTGTAACTCGCTCTGTAACACTGCTTCTCGTTAGAGTCGCATTACTCTATTGTTCCATTGTTCTATTGTTCTAGTTATGGCGGAGTTGTAAATATTGCTGCAACAAATTTCTTCGTACAACAATATCGGCACGAATTCAGCAACGCGTTACACGCTGGCCAGAGTTTTGGACAAAAGTTACCGTTTCATAATAAATCCACGAGAATTTATTCCCCGACAAAATTTCTAATATTCTCGATGACTACCGGAAGGACTGTGTCGTGGCTAGCGATTTACAATTATTAAATCGATCGTACATTCTAACAGTAATTGTCGATAGCTTCAATTGAAATTGGACAAAGTGCATAGCATTTTTATAAATATTTTCCTCGAAAGTTCTTGACAGAGGTGCGTTCGAAAAAAGCGCTCACCTTTTCGATGGCTTCCAGCGCCGCTTCAAAACTCCCAGCATGAGTAAACCGATGTAAACGAGGCCCAGGTGCCAACGGGCTTCCGACTCCCAGGAGCGTATCAACCACCACCACCAAAACCAATCACCACACAACCACCGGTCGACCTCGTCGATCTTTCCGAAAGATCTCTTTCGCTACCCGAGTCACACCATGATCGTCCACTGTTCTCTGTTACTTCGCGACGATTATTCGCTATTCCTCAGCCGGGTGGACACTCGATCGACCGTCACTCGCGGAGAACTCGTTTCGAAATGATCGAGGGACTCGCGGGATTGGCTCACTCGTTCGCGCGCGAATCTTCGCTGTTCCTTGAAAAAAGAATCGAGAGACTCTTAATCGCGAGCACGATTCGTAGCGTCGACGTTTATTCAACCCCTTAGCTTACAATTGCGTCTTAGAGACAAGACAGTAATAAGTCTACCGGGCCAAACCTTGGTGTCGTTTTTGACACGCACGGTTGGAAATTAAATCGTGAGGCAAGGGATTAACATCCACGATTTGGATTATCATCGAACGCTTGTTTACCGTGAGAGATTTTGTAAGAAAATCGAAAACGATCTGTAATTTATTAATGTTACTCCGTTCCGTGAAACATCGACGGAAGAATAAAAGTCTTTCGAACAACGGTCGAGTTATCGACGTTTCGTTATCGACGTGCGAAAGTTTTCCCTCGAGATATGAAAAGTTTCGACGGAGAACCTTTAGCGTTTCTGTGATCCGTTAACGCATAATAAGGTCTTTCGCGCGTCAGTACAGGTGAACGTTCCGCGATCGTACTCCGTTTTAAAGAAGAAAGGTACAAAAGACGTCGAAATAGGAATGTTCGCTTTGGAGCAAAAACAAAAGGCAAGGAACGTTAATATCAAGTAGATTGAGTCAGCTTCTCATTGTCCTCTTATCAATGAACAATCACCGTCTCGACGTAATCGGAATCATCGAACAAAGCTAATTAACTGGAAAATTGTCGACTTGACGAAAATCTTACTTCCCTTTCTCGAGGAAACAGAAACGATTTTATTGTTCACCGACGATAAAAAAGAACTGAGCAATTATAGATCGCTATATCAGCATACAGGAAGGCTAGTTAAGAATTTTGTTGTCAAATAACGGCTGTTTTCGTGGACGCGTCTCGGTAAACGTCCAACGTTGCATGTTCACAAGATTCCTATGTCACTGATTAATTAGCTGTCAATGTTGTCAGCGTGAGCGCTACCTAGCGTCCCTGACTGATCATTCGTCCCAAACAATAAATTACCGTGATAATGAGAGCGATAATTAACCCAAAATTGCTGAACGAAAATCCTCCGAAAGCTTACAACCTTAACAACGATCTAAACTTCGAATTCCGCTCGAGAACTCGTGTTAAAAAGCGTAACAAACGGACACGCAAAGATATGTAAACACGTATCTAGACTCTCGTACTCGTCGCTGAAACTATCAAGGCTGGCAACAAGAAAAAGACGCGCGAACGTAGCAAACCCCCAAGCGGAAACACGTCCCACGAGATCGCGTCTTGACGTTTCTCAAAGACCGCAGGATCCACTGTCGTCGCATGAACGCGTCGAACGGTCGATATTTCGGAGCAATCTACGTCGCAATGTTCGCGTTTGCGACTGATCCTGCAACACGACGATGCTACGATGCGTTGGGAAAAATTTCTAAACGTGGCGAAACAACCCCTCTGTTCGATAGTCGCGATGAATCACCGTCTCGTCGACGGCGTGGAACCGCGGGGCCTGGACATTCGTAACGCAACGGAATCGTCGAAAGACTCTCTTTTTCCGCCAAAGGGCCACACGTTGGATCGGGCCAAAGCTCGTCGATGAACGAACAGCTACGAATCGATGCTCGGTTACTAACGTTATCGGGAAGCACGACCTGGTGACCGCGTTCCGGGGGCAGAAGTCGACGAGAAAACACTGGTGACGAGGTATCGACGCCAGTCGCCGCGGAGAAGAAACGAGCGATCAGGCGGAAGTCGCGCGCGAAACACACGGACACGAACCGGCTGCGCGCCGAACTCGAACTGAACCAAAGACAGAGATGGCAGACACGCGGTACTCCTTCCCGGCTGCTCGCCGGGCTCCTCGTTTCCCCCACCCAGCTCCTACTCCCCACAAACTTCCCCTTCCGACCAGGCACGGCTCAAGGTACAACCGATACCGAGCGCCACGGGCCACTTCGCTGATAATCAATCGAATTATACAGGTAACCCCCGTACTGCGCGGTAGCGGGCACGGATTAGAGGGCACTGCAGCCTCCGGGGGCCTCGTTTATACGAATGATGAAACTAATTTTTCGAACTATTTAAAGGGCGAAACCACTGTGACGGATTGAAAAAATCGAAATCTCTTTTTTTATCTCTGTTCAATTGGTGGTATGAGCAACAATACGGTTAATCTGTACGAAAAGTATAAATCGAATACGAATCAATAGTGATTCTTAAGATGAATTTCAATGCAAGCAGATGTCTATAGACTATATTGAAATTTCCAATTTGCAAATCACGTTTGGAGTTTATTTTAAAAATAAGTCTACTTAAGGGGAGAAACCATTGTAACGGATGGAAAAAATCGAAATATCTTTTTTTATCTCTGTTCAATTGGGGGTATGAGCAACAATACGGTTATTCTGGACGAAAAGTATAAATCGAATACGAATCAGTAGTGATTCTTAAGATGAATTTCAATGCAAGCAGATATTTATAGACGATATTGAAATTTCCAATTTGCAAATCACGTTTGGAGTTTATTTTAAAAATAATTACATTAACTAAATAAGTCTACGTAAGGGGGGAAACCATTGTAACGGATGGAAAAAATCGAAATTTTTTTTATCTCTGTTCGATGCTCAGGGGTTTAAGAATGATCTAAAATAATATAGAATATATAGAAACTATATAGAATTGAATGCATGATAATGTAGCTTATAAATTTGAATATTACAGCTCGACTGCGGATGTTTATGCAAATTCATATATTTATTAATAAAATTAATGAAATAGAAGCTTTGTAGAGAGGTGTCTCAACCCCTAAATATAATAATTCGTATCTTACTAAGTGCATTCTATAGTTTTTTAAAAATTTAAATTTCCTATAAATGCATAAAGATCCGCACAGTTCAATTATAGCATTCATGTCATTTTGCATCAGAATAAAAATGAATGTTATAGTATTTACTTCCATGAAAGTATTAATAATCGAGGGTACCGAATACCCATATAACGAAAGTTGTAGTTGAGCCTGTTATAAGGTATTTTACTTTTACTGAAAGGCAATTCTTAGATCTTATAAATGAATTTGCGAGCTCCTTACTATAACAATTGATCATTGACAGTTCTAACAGGATTTTTTGACTTTCCTAACAGAATCCAGTGTAACATGTATAATACATTAACTTACATTTCTTTTCATTTGTATCTCGTTGTAGCTATGGAAAATATTGAATACTGTGGTTTGTCTCTAGCATACTTTCGATTGCTAATTATTAATATACATAAAGAAGGCATCGACAGCAGGAATATGAAGTACATCGAAGAAAAAGAAACTAATGATCGTTAATTTGTCTACGTGTAGTCCCAACATTTCGTCTATTATGACTACTCCAAGAAGTTTGAATTCGTACACTAATTCACCGTATGGTGTCGACAGGTGGAGGGGATAATTGCTAAGCAACAAGTAAGCTTGGAGACGCTACGCATGGGCTACAAGTAGTAGGGATACGCTGTGGGAATTGTTTCTCATTAGGTTGATTATTGCAACAACCTCGGTAATCAAGATTCCATCGATCACTAATAAATGAATAACATTACTTCGATAACATAATCAGATTATACAAAAATTGTATTACTTTGCTCAAAGCATGTTAACAATCAGAAGAATTATGCAGATGTTTACGCATTTATGGGGAAATTTTAATTTCCAAAAAGCTACTCAATGCATTTGATATACAAAATTATAAGAAATATTTAAAATAAGATATTATATTTAGATGTTGAGATAACGTTCTACAAAACTCCCATTTCATTAACTCTATTAACAAAAACATGAATTTGCATAAAGTTCCGCAGTCTGATTATTATTAAATAACACTCCTTCTCTGAAATAATAATATTTCTGTACAGTTTGATAATATTATCGAGGTAACGTTAGTGGTAATGTATAATGAAGGCGTCCTTCATCTACTTAAAACATGACGCGATAAAGAGAAATGTTCGCGCTGAAATTCAGAGAGAAATAAGACCGTAAAACACATGTACGCGAAACTGTGGGATTTCATCCACATCCTGTAACCCGGGCATAAAAAGCTCGGGACAACGGAGAGGATGAGCTCAACTGGCATTACACAATCTGGTGTACGCTAATCGAATTAAAAGATAGTTAATTCGTAGCAGAATTGGAGCGTAACTAGCCACTCCATCAAAACATTGATGTACTCGACCGACGACAGTCCGGACGTTGTCGATATTATAAATTATTAGGTGCGTTTTTACTTTTTGGCTGCACTCTCCCGCGATTCGATGATCAAAAATAACCATTACGAACTAATAGTTACATAAGGATAACGAAATTGGAAACCGTGCGTGTATTAAGAGCGTTATCAATATATGTATTATGGGAAAATGTTATTACTACTTGACCCGTACCGAATATTAATACTAAGAGAACCCCCTAACAGTGACATCGTCGAGAAACTATAGGAATATCCCTTGACATTTGCACATCCCACGAGAGTTTTCTATTTCCCTTGCACTGATCGCTGCTAAAGGTTGCCCCTGGTATTCTGTTCTATTTCTAAACCGATGTAAAACGAAACTGCAAAATTTTTTCGTTATTACGTGGACTTGCTCTGAAGTGACTTAATATTTTTAATTTTAAACGGTAAGTCGAAGTTTGACTCGTCGAAAAGCGTACAATTTGTTTAAGTAACTCCATTCAGCGAAAGCACAATAGCATTTTTTACTTATTTAGATGAAGATCTGAATACGACAATTACTCGTTATCCGTCTATGTTAAAAATTAATACAATAGCTGAAATAAACAAAAGGCACCCTTCCCTTTCAAAAGTCCATTTCGCGTGTGTTTCAATGCAGATAATGAAGAACGCCACTTTGCGTTTTATTCTTTCGCTTTAACGAATTTAAATGAAATCCTGCGAGCCACGAGGCGAATACAATGTCGAATGATAATTGAATTGTCATACCTTGGAACAGTTTTTTTCTAAATCAAGATTGCTTTCATCAATTTTACCAAATGTCACGGCCAGCGACAAAATTTAATTTTCTAATTATACCACTGTCAGTACCATGAAAGGGATATTATAAATGCGTGCTCAGACACTCGAGACTAAACTTCCAAAGGGTTGGAATCTCCAGGAAACTGTGCATATTCTCGCATAAAATTTCAAATCGAAGAACAATCAAGACGCGTCCCAGATATCTCCGGCGAAGAAAGTTCCGAAGCATCGTCGAGATATCCATGAAATCGACGTAGTGGCTCGTCATTTCGAACTTTCCACTTTTCGAGATGCAATCGCGCCGAATTATTCGGCTCTTTCGAGACCATCGTCTCACTCGAACTCGCTCGAAACTTGAAGCAAACACCCATCCGTGTCACTGTCGAGACACAGCAAAGAGTCACGAAAAATACGATCACGATGGTCGTTCAACACATTGACTGCCACGTCACCCACATATGGGTGACACGACTTTTCACCGAGGAGTTAAAAAAATTCATTCTCAATCTTAAACGTCAAAGAAAATAAAGCTAAGTAGGGCCTTTGAATTTTAACAAGTTTGTGAAAATAAATTCCAATTATGTAAAAACAAAATTTAATTTTCCTTTTAATTTGAGGAGTTTGGTCTAGCAGTGAACGTGTATTAAACAATGAGCACCAGATTACCTTCGAAATTTTCATTTTATTCTAATTCAAAGTTCTATTTCCCTCGTTATTCGTATAAGTCGAATGATAATTTTCAGAAGTTGTTTATCTTTTATATCGTTTATCTGGATGAGAATCTAGCTCATTTGCTGCCTCAACCCTTACACGCTGGTCCCTCGTATTCGACCCAGCTGAGCCGACTTCGGCTCGGCGGCGCTCGGCCACAATCGCAGGCGATGCATCGATTTTTCCTTCGTGCAGCCGCTGCTGCAACTGCGGTGCATCGCCTTTGCACCGGTTACGTTGATGCTCGCCAACCTTCCTTCCAGAACCTTTCGTCCCCGCGACAATCCGACGTCTCTTCTCGCCCTTTTCTCCGCGCGCCAAAGTGATTCATCCCCGCATCCTTCTCCACCAATCGCTTACGTTCCACTCTCAAATCGATCAGGAATTTTTCGAGAATTCAAATACTACGCTGATGGATCTCAGTAACTATTTGTGATGCTTTCTAATTCGTTTGATTCGATTATTAATCAAGTGTCTCGTTTCGAATTGGAACATTAGAACTACAAAAGCAATCAAAATGACCCATTTGTAATTTATAGTGAAAATTGTATAAAATTAACTCGATTGAATTTTCGAAAACATTCTAGAAGGTAATGAATAAACATATTGCATTATACTATCGTTTTAATTTGGAACAAATTAATACACTATAATTGTCGGTGGTTCTATGATTAATTAAAGAATTTCACAGTCGTGAAATTTGGTTCCTTTGTCCCCTCGTGAGAGCAACTGTACAATAGAAGTACAAAAGTAGCTACACGATAAAACTTGTAAAAAATTGACTCGACTGAATTTTTATTCATTTTAATTTCTTCAGCTCTAGTGTATATAAAATATCAAACCATTAAAATGATAAGTCAAAACCAAAATTTTACGCGAAATACAACACAAGATCCCTGATCAATTTGACGTGGAATGACCATCCCCTACTTCTCGCTAAGAAATCGTTGGTTCCGTTAATCGTGGCCCCATCGAAAGCATGAAAACGATACACGGTATAATCGAGCCCCAACGTCATTGAATATTCATAATTCCACGATGATTCATGCGAGTCATGCTACAC